TGGGCGTGTGGAAGTTCTCGACAAACTCAAAATCTGCAGGTTGCCCCGCGATGGGTGCGCCCAGCCATTCTGCCAAGTCGACGCCGCTGTGGCCAGCGAACACCTCCTCGAACAGCTCGTCGGCGTAAGTCTCGAAGGTCACGCTGGCACTTACTTTGATACATGGCAGCCATGGAATGAACAATTGTGGCTGGGCCGTCGGCAGGGTCGGCTAAACGCGACCCCCAATCGACATTTCGCATGTCGGAGTCCGTTTGAGCCAGATGTGTTGACGGACCCCTGCCGCTTCCATCGCCTTGGTGGCATTCGCGTCGGAAATGCTGTGTGCTGCGGCACATGTCGCACTCCATAGTTTTGCCGTTGGCATCCTCTGGGTTTCCGCGTCGCCCTTTACCTTTGCTGATGCATGCCTGCGGTTCCTGCCAGTACCTAAAAACATATCCTCATACTGACGTCCAGTAAGAGGCGCCAGGAATGCTAGGATGCCTCTACCATGGAATCGCCGACGCCTACCGTTGCCTCTACTTCGACTCTTGCCATTTTCTTTAAGAGACCGTCGTGCAATACGTCTCCCCCCCTTCGGACTGGTTTCTTCATGAACCTCCGCCAACGACGCGGAGCCCCAAACTAACCATTGAGCTTGCTGCTCTTGGGTAAGGCATGCAGGCATAGCAGAGCAATCCAAGGCGGTAACTTCATCATCGGAAAACGCATCCGCATCGGTACCTGAGTCGAAGTCGGACTCTGCGGGTTGCCCCGCTGAGCCCATGAGGGTCATAGCTTGTATCGGGAAAGCCGCGTCGGGCGGTCTCCTAGATCTGGCCCAGGGGTCTTGCGACCCCGAGGCCGTTTCACCACTCTGGGCCAACAGTGTAGTGGTCTCAGTTGGCTGTGGATCATCGTTCCGGACGTCGTTGGCAGGTTGCCCTGCGTTGGCCTCTGCGTGGAAAGTTTCGGTTCGGTGACCGTGGCTAACGATACCACCAATATTGCCAGGGGTCCTCTCGGCTATGTGAGCATATGACCTCATACGTTCCAATAGAGCGTCAAATTGTGGTTGGCCCCTCGGCATGTGGTCGTTCAGAGGCTGCAGGAATTGTTGCGCGCGCGATATCCCCACTCCAAGAGCTCTGAATATAAGCGCTGTCAGGATTAGGAAAATGGGGATATTGAAGCCGGCGGCTTCAGCTTCGCAGCGGGCTATCTCGAACCGTGCTAACGTCTGGTCGATACGTTCACCCGCATGGACTCGAAAGTAATAAATGAGAGCCCAGTTGGGTTGGGTCGGCGTTCTTCATCTAGGTTCTCGAACTTCGTACTTAAGAGGAACATGTAGGTGACGCCGTCGGTGTGGCGACCGCCTATATTGACGCCAAAATTAAGAAGTGCCGGGGGGGCTCTCATGGCTATAGTCCGTGCGAGACCTCCCAAACCTCGCTGCATTGCGGCGGCTTGCTGGGAGGGCGTCATGTTGCCTGTGGTCACATTGATCCAGGCATGTACTTCGCGGACGAACTCGCGGAATGGTACTTGACCGGCAGGGTCCCAATGAGGGCCAGTCGTTCTAGTGTCATCTCCACCCCGCATATGTCCTACTGCACACCCAATAGCGACCCATATGAGCCCAAATCAAATAAACCCAATCCAGTGGCCTCGTAGGTCGTAGTCGGATGTAGTCGGTGGGGACTTATGTTTTGTCGTCGTAGGTCTGCGTGGGGTCGGAGGCGGCAGTGTGTCGTATCGCATGTGTCCATGCATTACGTTTCCGAAAAAAATCCAAATGGAGTAGGTGGGTGGACTTCAGGAGGAGTGTAATAGCGCAGGGATGTAAGATGTGAGTGAAAGACCTCCGCCTGGACAGAGGTATCGCTGCATGTTTCCTTCCGGTACTGCGTAGTTGTATACACTCTTCCGCGCAATCCAGCTGCACCCTGATGTTCCACCGTATCTGTAGTCCACCAGATAGTGCCGTGAATGGAGCTGGCCACCACAGGCCAGCTCCGCTATCAAGTTTGAAAAGGGGCTGGAAGGCCCAGCCAACAGCTTCGCCTCAGGCGAAGCCAAGCTCCAATTCTGTTGTACCGTAGTAACGATTGCCCCATCTCAAACAATAGGAATATGATTGTGGTCTCGATAGCGATTGTGTGCCTCGCAGTGAGGCGCTGTCAAATTTGGGCGGCCGGCCGCTTGAGCCGACGCGGCCGCGGGCGCACGCTCGCTTCCACTCCTTACGTCCCTCAGCTCGCTTTAGAGTGAGCCTCCTCCCCCTCCTCGTCCTCGTACTCGTCCTCATCATCATCCCCCCCTCCTCCTCCTCCTCCTCCTCCTCCTCCTCCTCCTCCTCCTCATCCCCGCCTGGGGTGACGCCATCGTGCTACCAGACCGAATGCGGGAGAACGGACGAGGAGCTTCCTCGTACCGCTCCGAGCCTCAGCCGCAAATCCCACCAGCACTTGAGGTCGTCAGAGATTTGGAACCCTTTCCTTTCCCAACACCCCTTCTTCGCCTTCGGGGAGGGGGAAGGGTCTATCCATGTTTCCTGTTAAAGAATACCCCCTGCCCTAGGCGACCGGCAACCAACAAAGACCCATGACAGCCCCCCCCCCACTATAGCCGTCAAAAACAATGTAAGTGCTCTTTGGGGGCAAAATCTGGATCATGATCGGGGGGCCTGCGAACACTTTGTCTTGTTTTGGATTGGTACGGCGGGGGTGCCCGCATTTTGCCTTTTGTGCGCGGGTGGAAATGAGCGAGACGGCTTCCGAGCGGGGAGGGTGACCCATTGGGGCGACGACATTATTTATTTTCCCGAGGGGTTGGGCCAATTTTGGCCTCGTGGGGGAGGAAGCTGATTGAGGACCCCCATCTTGTCTTGTTTTGGATTGGTACGGCGGGGGTGCCCGCATTTTGCCTTTTGTGCGCGGGTGGAAATGAGCGAGACGGCTTCCGAGCGGGGAGCGTGACCCATTGGGGCGACGACATTATTTATTTTCCCGAGGGGTTGGGCCAATTTTGGCCTCGTGGGGGAGGAAGCTGATTGAGGACCCCCATCTTTGATCAAACTCCTCCAAGATGACCCCAAGACTCCCAAGAGTGCCTCAAGAGGGCCCCAAGAGGCGCAAAGAAGACCCAAAGATGCCCCCAAGAGATCCCCGAGAGGCTCCCAAGAGGTCCCCAAGAAGCTCCCAAGAGGTCCCCAAAGACCCCAAAACTCTGGCACCGCGTGGATCGTACATGCCTAGAACGGTCGCGGCCTTCCGATACCGCGGATTGTTCGATATCGGCCGGTTCCAGGCCACTGGGAGCGTTCAAAATGGAACGCCCACGCTGTCGTCGCCGCAGCATCGACACGACCTGAACTCTGGAAACAGCTCTACGGTCCAGGCAATGAAACCTCTGTGGGAGACTGGTGGCCTGGCTTTTCAGGCTCGAGGCCTAAAAGGATGAGTTTGCTTGGTAGTGGCTGAGCCGCAGCTACCACTAAGGCTTCACAGAATTCAGTGGTTGGGGCGAGACAGCGAGCACACATCAAAAGGCATATTGACTAATGAGATGCACGTTAGGGAGCAGGACAGGCTAAGGGAGAGAAACGTCGAGCTGGAATCGGCAATGCATCGCCGATAGATCGGCGATAAGACGCCAGTAGCGAATCCGCGTATTCCTGGACGGGGTGGGCTGTCGAGCCCCTAGCGGCGATTAATGGGCAATTCGGAGTCAATTGATCCCCCCTGACCTCATCCGCCCGTAACGTTGCGGCTGGCCCGAAGTCCATGGGGCCCTCACAAGACGAGCGAAGAGTCTGTGAAGGAAAACGGGCCTCAGGATCGAACAATTGCACAGGCCCATCTCCTTCCTCCCCCTCCCTCCCCCTCTGATAATTATAGTTGTCCCCCTCGGATCTTGCTAGTACGATAGCGGGCATCTCCCCAGGAAACTGGTCGCACTCAGCATTAGGCTTCTGGCAGGTCTGCGCGGGAACGAGTGCAAGCTGTTGCTTTGTGAACCATGAAGCCGCACTAGCCAGACCCATGATTCAACGCGGTGATGCCAGATGAAGCGGGATTAAGCCGAATTGCAACCGACTGCATGGGATTATTAATCAAATTTCCAAGGAGCCGCATCCTAAGATCTGGAATATTGAACTCCATATGTCAGGAACCAACACGGAGTCTGGCGACAGAAATCAAGACTCTGAACTGGCAGGCCGAAGCCAGAAGCCGCACCTGGAAACCTACATCCCGAATATGGTCAACGTTTTCTCATTCGGCGTTTCGACATTTGGCGGAAAAGGGGGGAGGGTGTGTCTGGCTCCAGACCTCTGCTTAATGCGACTGTTTGCAACAGTGCGTCCTCTGGGGGAGACTCCACCTGCTTGAAACAGGCGCCAAAAACAGCCAAGACCTACTCCATTGGGGGGGAGGGGGGTGCGAGGGCCCGCGCCGACCGGCAAAACAATGGCTAAGAAAACGATCACCTGGGACTCTGGCCGTGGATTCCGAACTCGTGCTCTGGACCGCACTGCGCTGTAGCGTCGTGGCCTTGCGCGCGTCGGCCCGCGAAGGCGGCCGGGAGCGGCCATCAGAGGCCTGTTCCCCCTGCGGTCTGGGTCAAGGGCTGCGGGGTGCAGGCAGGATCGGGATCCGCCACGGGGGGGGGGGGGCGACCCTGAAGGGGGGCATGAGTTCGATCCGACTCGCTGGTGCACCGAACTGCCGCAAATAGATGTCCCCCGCATGCCCCACCTATCGGCAGTTATCGGGAGCTGCCGGCGGCTGGGGGGCATCTGCTTTGGGCGGTTCGGTGCAAACGCCGATCGAACTCACACGCAACCTGGGGCGCACACCCCTTTGCGGGAGCACGATTGGAGGGGGCTTTTCGAGAGTTCATTTTGAGAGCGAGAGAACCTGTTCTGGACCCGACCTCTTCATTCTGACCCTCGCGATCGCCGCTCAGCGAAGGGTGCCCAGCCCTCCCCCCCCCGAGATTCGTCACCCTCGGTCCTTGAAAATCGGCATGGCTGCGAACGTGGATTCCGCCGGCCCGAGGTCGTCGGGCAGAAAGGCACACACGACACCCACAGGGACCTCCTCAAGAAGGCCCCAGGAACCCCAGAACTCTGCCCTGCTCTCCTCCCTCCTCCCTCTCCCTCCAAACGAAGGAAGCACCTGCGAGTGGCCCCGTGGGCCGCGGGTAGCCTCAATCCGCGCCTGGATTAAGGTCGCGGCGCACCACCAACAAGGCCCACTTATGGGGGACATATGCTGGCCCTTCCCTGCCAGGCCCCCAAGTGGCCCATCGAGAAGTAGCAGCAGTCAGTCCTGTGGACAGACGCTGAGATCGCCTCGCCTCCCCCTTCACCCTTCTCCGGCTCCTGCCTCCGTTCTCCATCCCTCCTCCCTCCTCCTCGCTCCGGCCTCCCTCTCTCTCTCACTCTCCCACTCTCTCTCTCTCTCTCTATCTCTGACTCTCCCAACCTCTCTCTCTCTCCCTCTTGTCTCCACTTCCCCCGGCCTGGGGGCGAACGGAAGTGAAGCGGCGACCCCCCACCGAGAAATCGGAGGGCCAGGAGACCGGCGGCCAGGGCGGCAAGGAGCAGCAAACGAAAGCAAGGACACAGGCCCAGATGCTTGGATGACCGCGGGGACCCACCGAGAAGTCGGGCTCGATCTCGTGTCGCGAAGTGCGGGCGGTGCGAGGCGAGGCGAGGCCGCGTGCGCGGGCGAGAGGAGTGGTCCCGCCGTCGCCAGGGCAGGGCCCGAGCAAATGTCCCTCCCCAGTTCGGTTAGCGGTCTCTGGGGCGAGGTTGTCCCGCGGTTGTCCTGTGGTTGTCCCGCGGTTGTCCCGGTGGCTGTCCCGATGGTTGTCCTGTGGTTGTCCCGATGGTTTGCCCGATGGTTGTCCCGGTGATTGTCCCGATGGTTGTCCCGGTGGTTGTCCCGATGGTTGTCCCGATGGTTGTCCCGACGATTGTCCCGACGGTTGTCCCGATGGCTGTTCCGCTGGTTATCCCGATAGTTGTCCTGATAGATAGATTGTGGTATCGAGGAAGAGTTAGATAGTAGTGAGATCGATATGTAAATCGCAAGGTCGATAAAACTCAACATTAGCACCCCGCAGCTGCGGATATGAATGAAGGAGCGGGCGCGGGGCAGGTCGCAGGTGGGTCGCGCGCTGGTCGCGGGTGGGTCGCGGGGTGGGACGCGGGTGGCTCGCGGGCGGGTCGCGGCTGGGTCGCGGGCGGGTGGCGGGTGGGTCGCGGGCCGGGTCACGAGTGGGACGACGACGACGACGACAACAAAAATATCAACCAACAACCAATAACCAACAGCCAACACAACAACACCAACAACCAACAACAACACCACCAACAACAATCATTTCAATAATGTTCGCCCTTATCTGCTCGAGTGTCCAGTAACGCCTATTTCCCAAACCTTCGATACCCGCCCTCTTCGTCTTCAATCGAACCCCTTTTGGGGGGTATACCTTTCTTCCCTGCAGGCAGGGCCCCGGCAAGCGGCGGGGCGGCCGCGGACCGTCTGCCTGGCCAGCGGCAGCGCTGATCGGCGGGGCGGCCGCGGACCGTCGACCCGACCCCAAGAGGGACGGACAGGGGACCGACCACGACGACGACGACGACGACGACGACGACGGCGACCGCGACGACGTCGACGATGACGGCGACGAGCGAAAGCGAGAGCGACAGAGAACGACAGCAGGACCACAAGGACACGGAGTAGGCCACGAAAGGCAACAGCGGGGACACGAAGGGAATGCGTATGGGGCCACGAAGAGCGCGAACGAGCGGGGGCCACGAAGGGCAGGTAATGTGGGGCCACAGCAGGCAACGATGGGGCCACTGAGGGTAGCAACTGGGCCACGTGGGACATATGCATATGGGGCCACCACGGGCGCGAACAAGCGGGGGCCACGAAGGGCATACATATATGGGGCCACGAAGGGCAGTGAGGGGGCCACGAAGGGATGCAACGGGGCCACGAAGGGCAGCGAGGGGGCCACGAAGGGCTGCAACGGGGCCACGAAGGGCTGCGACGGGGCCACGAAAGGCAGCGAGGGGGCCACAAACGGCTGCAACGGGGCCACGAAACAAAGGGAGGGGGCCACGAAGGACTTCAACGGGGCCACAAAAAGCAGCGAGGAGGCCACGAGGGGCTGCAACGGGGCCACGAAGGGCAGCGAGGGGGCCACGAAGGGCTGCAACGGGGCCACGAAACAAAGCGAGGGGGGCATGAAGGGTTGCAACGGGGCCACGAAGGGCAGCGAGATCCCGATTCTTATGTAATCTGTGACGGCGTCTTAAGCGTGAGCGCGACTCCTGGGTGCATGGGTGTCGGGAGCGCGGCGCTTGAGTGAATTGCAGGAAATTCCAACGCAAGGGCGCTACTCTTCAGTAAGTTGCAAACAAGTCTCCAGTGAGAGCGTGAGTCTAGAGTGCCAGGTGGATAAATTCTGAAGAAGTCCCAAACGAACAGCGGGGAGAAGTCTCGGGCGGGAGCGGGGGTCCTGGCTGAATTGTGAGGCGGTCTCAGGCGGGAACCGCTGTTGTTGTAAATTGGGGGCAAGCGACACAGTTTGTCCCTCAAGACTTCCCTTGATAGAAAACAGGGTCCGAGCCCCGGGAAAAGGCACTTCAATCGAAAACAAACAATGTGCACTGGACGGCGGGGATCAACAATATTTATTCTTCAGAAATGAGAATCAAACAAAAACAACAACAACAACAACAACAACGCAAGGACACTCTCTCAGGCCACCCCGGCGGGGCCCGTGGGTGTGTCCTCGCCCCCGGGGCGAGCGCACTGCCCCAGGCCACACGTTGCAGTTGTTGCCCCGGGGGGGGGGGGGAGCAACGCGCAACACCTCTGTCATACGCTAACGAAGATCTATATGTGTTTCCGAATCTCCGTTGGCTCCCTTACTGTTCCCCACGCACTCCTGTGGCCGAAAACCGACCACGCGCCAGCGAGGCCAGCTCCTCCTCCTCATAGGACTCCTATGGAATCGCGCAGGGCCCTGTAAGGATCCTATGGGATCCCCATAGGATTCCTATGGAATCGTGCCGGACCCTGTAACGATCCTATAGGATCCCTCTAGGGTTCCTATGGAATCGTGCAGGGCCGTGTAAGGGTCCTATAAGATCCCTCCAGGGTTCCTATGGAATCGTGCAGGACCCTGTAAGGATCCTATGGGATCCCTCTAGGGTTCCTATAGAATCGTGCAGGGCCCTGTAAGGATCCTATGGGATCCCTATAGGGTTCCGATGGAATCGTGCAGGACCCTGTAAGGATCCTTCAGGATCCCTCAACGGTTCCTATGGGATCGTGCAAGACCCTGTAAGGATCCTATAGGATCCCTCTAGGGTTCCTATGGAATCGTGCAAGACCCTGTCAGGATCCTATGGGATCCCTCTAGGGTTCCTATGGAATCGCGCAGGACCCTGTAAGGATCCTATAGGTTCCTCCTCTATAGGACTCCTATGGAATCGTGCAGGACCCTGTAAGGTTCCTATCGGACTCCTCTAGGGGTCCTATGGAATCGTGCAGGACCCTGTAAGGATCCTATGGGATCCCTATAGGATTCCTATGCAGCCGTGCAGGACCCTGTAAGGATCCTATAGGATCCCTATAGGTTTCCTATTACTAGTATTATTTTATTTATTTTTATAATTAAAATGATATTTCAATAAATTCCTTGAATGATTTCTCATTTAATCAATTTTTATTACTGTTAATATATGGAATGTGCAGGCCCTTGTATGATCCTAATAGCTTGGTTTCCTAGTGGGTTCGTGGAATCATGCAGGGCCCTGTGAGGTACTTTAGGACCATTTATGTAGGTTTTCGATGGATTTCCGAGAGGACCCTGTAAGGATCCTATAGGATCCCTCCAGGGTTCCTATGGAATCGTGCAGGACCCTGTAAGGATCCAATAGGATCCCTCTAGGGTTCTTATGGAATCGTGCAGGACCCTGTAAGGATCCTAGAGGACCCCTATAGGCTTCCCATAGAATCGTGCAGAACCCTGTAAGGATCCTATATGATCCCTCTGAGTTTCCAATGGGAACCTGTTGGGCCCTGTCAGGATCCTCGAAGATCCCTCTAGGGATCCGATGGAATCGTGCAGGACCCTGTAAGGATCCTATCGGATCCCTCTAGGGTTCCTATGGAAACGTGCAGGATTCTGTAAGGATCCTATGGGATCCCTCTGAGGTTCCGATGGAATCGTGCAAGACCCTGTAAGGATCCTATAGGTTCCTCCTTATAATAGCACTCCGATGGAATCATGCAGGACCTGTAAGGATCCTGTAGGATTCCTATAGGATTCCTATGGAATCGTGCAGGACCCTGCACGGACCCTATAGGATCCCTCTAGGATTCCTATGGAACCGTGCAGGACCCTGTAAGGATCCTATAGGATCCCTCTAGGGTTCCTATAGAATCGTGCAGGACCCTGTAAGGATCCTGTAGGATCCCTATAGAGTTCCGATGGAATCCTGCAGGGCCCTGTGAGGATCCTATCGGATCCCTATAGGGTTCCGATGGAATCCTGTAGGACCCTGTAAGGATCCTATAAGACCCCATATAGGATTCTTATAGGATCGTGCAGGACCCTGTACGGATCCTATGGATCAATTCCGGGTTCTTATGGATCGTTTGGAGAAGGCTTGCTTCCTGTGTGGATTCCTTAGGGTACTATTGGAAATCCTGTTGACCCTGTATGGTTATATTGGTATCCCTCAGGGTTCTGAGGTGTACTCGCGCAGGACCCTGTATAGGATCCTATAGGTTCCCCTCTAGGGTTCCGATTGGAGTCGTGCAGGACCCTGTGTAGGAGAGCTTTAGGATCCTATAGGATTTCAGAGATTTCCGTTGCTGGATCTGTTAAGGATCTATGGATCCCTATTGGGTGTGTTCATATGGGAAATCGTTGAAGGACCCTGTACGGAATCGATAGGTTCATCTTATAGGACTCCTATGGAATCGTGCAGGACCTTGTAAGG